GTCCTCAATCTCTTTTTCTGCAGCCCCTGTTATCAATGAACAGGAATCCTCTATACTGATTGTTTCATTGATAACTTGATAACAGAGTGTGTTTACTATAACCACAATCATGAATGAACAGGAGGGGATGTAGATCACTTCCCATTCATTCATAATTAAGGATATAGTAACCATACTCTGTCCTCAATTATCTACAAACACTCAGCGATCACTGATCACTGACTGCTTGTACCCGCTCTCCTTTCTGACACGCTCTCACAGGAGGCTGAGCGAGCGGTGCGGGAGGAGAGCTCAGCCTCCTGTGACAGCGCTGTCTCCGCCCCAGTTCTCATAGACACAGAGTCCTCAGAGACACAGAGTCTTCAGAGACACACAGAGTTCTCATAGACACATGTTGGAGGAGAGACGCCGGCCGCTCACAGCGCTCTCCTCCCACAGCCCTCGGCCGGCTGTGACACTTTCTCTCCTCCCTGCTGGGACACAGAGCAGCGCTCTTTTTTGTTTTAACTTGGGGGAGGGCCCCTCCTAACATTCCTACCAGGCCTAAAGGGTCTGGTATGAATTGGGGGGGGAACCTCACGCTTTTTTTTTTTCATCTTCTGCAAACTGAAATGTTTTTTCTAATGTCACTCCAATAAACAAACTTTTTAGCGGACTACCGCTAACGAATTTCGGGAAATCGGGAATTCGGATTCGTTTGCATTCGTTATAGCTGTAATTCGGAATTCGGATGCATCCAAATCTCAGAATTTCCGAAAATTCGTCCGAATTTCGATTTGGAACGAAACGAATCGCACATGTCTACAAAATACATCTATATCCGCATTAGGCGCGGTCCTTCTCTCTTCCCCCCAACCCTTAAGGCATTTTGTATTTATAAAAGTAGAAAGGAAACATCACATCATGGCAGACCGCATGGCCCAGCCCAACAACAAGAGGGGCCAATACCAATCCGGCCTACCCCTGGGGGGTACACAAAGACAGACAATACATATAACATAAAACAAGGCATCACACAGGGAAACAATTAGCACAGAACAAAGAAAAGGACACAAAGGGACCCCGGGTTCCCGTCAGCACGGAATGCTCATGATACCATAAATGCGGGATACAAGGGCCCTCCTTCCAAACCGCCTCATCATCACTGATTCCGCCCTGACACACAGTAGAGAATGCACCTGAGTCTCTGAACAGGAACCAGGCTCCCCATGTGGCAACAAAACTGGACTGGGACCCATTCAATGAGGAAGTCAAGTCTTCCATCAGCTTGATCTCCTCCACCCGTCCTGCCCGCATCTCAAGGGACGGCGGTCGGGCTTGCTTCCATAAGGCTGGTGCGCAAGCCTTCGCCGCATTCCACGTATGAATCAATAGTGAGCGTGTATATTGTTTCCGAGACAGCGGGGCTAAGTGATGGAGATAAACCGAGGGAGTAAATAGTAGCGTGAGACCCGTGATGTCCCTGATCAATGTGGCAACTTGTGACCAAAAAAGTTTGACTTTTCAGCAGTCCCAGAAAACATGCATTAGGGAACCCAACTCCTCCCCACAACGCCAGCACAACTGCGACACAGAGGGGTGCATGGTATGGAGGGTCATAGCTACCCTGTACCATCTGGTCAAAAGTTTACAACCCGCTTCCTGATATTTATTTGAAATCGAGGACTTAAAGTGACATTAAACCCTCAGATTTTTTAACATAAACCAATACTGTAATGTGTGCCTTACTGTAATCCATGGTAGTTTCCCTTCTCTTTGCTGCTCTTCCTTTTAAATCTGTATCTGTTCTCATGCTGGGGAGAACTTCTGTTTTGCAGCAGACTGCCTTGTCTCTGGAATGGCTACATGGTGTCTGTGTATAGGTTCACAACCTGAGCCAGCACTACGGGAAGAGGCACTCAGCTGCAAAGGGAAGTTCTGCTCAGCATGATAAGAAATACGGATTTAAAAGGAAGAGCAGCAAAGAGAAGGGAAACTACCATGGATTACAGTAAGGCGCACATTACAGTATTGGTTTATGTTAGAAAATCTGAGGGTTTAATGTCACTTTAAGGGCAAAATGGAACATACATAGCCCTGTTGAGGGCTAAAATCTACACCCAGATCAGAGGTCCACTGCCTAACAAAGTAAGGCCCCGTTCCCACTGCGCGATATGCAAAACGCGTGTTTGTCGTGCGATTTGCATATTGCGCGATATCGCGAGATTTGCCGCGCGATATAGCGTTCAAGCTTGCATTGAGCAAGCTTGAATCGCGGCTAAATCCGCTCCAAAAAGGGTCCTGCTGTAGCGACACACGACCCGCGACAGCAGGACCCTTTGCCCCATTGAAATGCATTGGAGCGCGATATCGCGCGGTAATTTGCCGCGATATCGCGGGAATTACTGCGCGATAAACCGCTCAATGTGAACGGGGCTTAAGGGTGGGGAAGGTCTGGAGGGTTACGCAGACAATTCACCAAGTAAGACAAGGTGTGTCTTGTCGGCTCTGACTCCGTCAACTGTCTAGGAGGACATTTCCGATCTGAAAAGGAACAGAAATAGTGCCGCACCTGTAAAGCGCTCCATAATCGTACGGGTGGGTCAGTAAGAGTCTGAATCTGAGCTACTTGTTTCCAGTGCTCTGTGTCTCTAAAGTGGTATCGTTTTGTATGACCCGAGTTCTGGCCAGTGGAGTAAGCAGACCCGGAGGGAAATGAGGGTTCCCCACTACCGGTGTCAAGGGTGATGTTAGAGGAGACAGGCCGGGAGAGGGGAGCTCACTGAAAGCATAGTGGGCCGACCCAGTGGGTTTGACCAGTAGGAGAGTGGTAATTTCGGAAAGATCCATGGAATACCCTGCAACGGCAGACGGCAGTCCTCTTGTTCCAAAGCCACCTATAATTTCTGGTCAACATTACAGCACCAATCAACAATCACAGAAAGGTGGTCTGCTCTATAGTAATAAAGTGCAGGGTCAGGAAATCCCAAGCCCCCCGCTGCCCTAGGTCTGGACAGGATTTGATGGCGCAATCGAGCCCGCTTATTAGCCCAAAGAAAGGCCAGGAAGCGGGATCGCAGCTGTCGCAGGTATACATTAGGTACGGTAATTACTATTGTTATTATTCTTCTTTTATTATTATTATTCTTGTATTGTTATTATTATTGTTGTTATTATTCTTTT